GTAGTATTCATACCTGCTGGGGTTGATTTTGAGCCTCAGCCTCCCAGCCTGTGCTCTCTTTGTTCAGCACTACTTTGACTAAAGGAGAGAATCTCTCTGCTGCAGGAGGATAAAACACTAAAGAAGAAGAATAAAAACACATTTTATCAGCAGGAACTACAGATGATTTTTGAACACCAGGACATTAAAAAAAGCTCACCTTTCCTCCTGGCTCTCCTCCGGGTCCTCCTCAGCTCTGCCTCCATCCCCTCACACTTCCTCTGCAGCAGGTCGATGTCCCGCCGGCTCTGGCTCACCTCCAGCCGGAGCACCGCGCAGCTGACATCCACACTCCGGTTTATCTCCGCCACGGCCGCCTTGGCCAGGACCTCCATGACGGACAGCAGCTGGCTCTGGAAGCCGCTGTTCTCCATTGTTGAACGCCGACTTCCGCTTCTTATTCAAATACAAAATAAATATATTCTCCTGTACGCGTCTGTATATCGCTCACTTTCAGAGGGAGAATGTACACAAATGGCTGGTCGGAGGAGTGGGTGCTACTGTGTTGCACTTGAGCTGCAAATTTCTTCCGGCGATGGTTGGGAGGAGAGAGACGCTCGTTTTGTTTTACCGCTTTGTTCGCACGGGCGGTCGCACTCCCTCTCTGGTTTAGTCACACAAAGAATACATTTTTAACGAATATACTTCAACGCATTCGGCTACATGAAACCAACACAAGTTGGGAAATGTTTATGTACTTTCTTAATGTTAACAGTGTTGTAAGTTATCGTTACTTCCGCCTCTTAGGGACGTCCTGGAATCTACAACGAGATTACCGTTATAGCGTCACTTGTTGTATTACCGTAAATACTCAAATATTTCCGCACTCTTCAGCGGCGGAAGTCAGAATTTACGCTCCACTCGGTGAATCCAGGTGATAAAAGACATTTGCAAAGTTGCTAAGACTACTTGTATTTTCTTGTTATGAAACAACAAAAATTACTTAAAATAGTGTCCAAGTATAAAACATTATTTTTCATGATTTTACGAACTACATACTCGAGCATGATCAAAGTGTAATTAATACGCTTATATTAAGCGATACATCTCATCAATGTAATGAGTATTATGCCAATATTTAGATATGTGGTGGTGTGTCAGGGAGGAGCAGACATTCAGTGTATTCTCTCTACCACTCTCTAGTAAGTCACCCCTTTTAAGTGTTTATATGTTGCAATTTAATAACTCATTTATTAATTGTGTATAGATCAGTTACAAGCCAGTAATAGTGAAAATAATGCACTCTAGTTCTGGAGAATTCGGACCAAAAGACATTTATTAGCATATTGCCTTAATGACATATTAGAAAGTGTGAAACCCACAAGCATGTTTTAATGGATTACCAAAGTTTACATCTGCATTATTAGATAGATATCTAGGTATAAACACCAGACAAAGGGATTTTTCACAACCTGGCAAATCAAATTTTGCTCTTATTAATGGCTTAAATAGCTCTATAAAACACTGGTAAATTATTTATTATCCCTTAATAACGCCATTTGTGACCATTTCTAAACAGGGGGTTCATGACCTCTGTTGAGGAAAGACCCAGGCAACTGGTACTGCCACAAACTACCAGAGACACAGTACTACAGTATCACAGACTATTACAAAAACTACAGTATTGTATGTTATAATACATTATTAGCATTCAATTCCATACAATATTGCATAGTACCCTAACAACCAATTAATATCCAGGTATTTCATTCTTACTGAATATCTCAAACACAACCGTGGAATATAACTAGACGCATTTAGTACTGTGCTTAAGCACAATTTTGAGGTGCTTATTTTATGCTGCTTTATACTTCCACTCCACTACATAACAACCACGAGTTGATTTTGTTGCTGATACAAACATTTTAAATACACATTTACTTGTAGTATGTTTACATTGTGGTATTATTTTAGTAATTTGTTGTAATTTGTGGTTATTTTAGTACTTTTGAATATTTCAACGAGGGCCATTTTTGCGTTCCTTAGTAGTACTCTGTGGAAACTCTTGATACTTTGGGCCAAGCCGATCCATATTCTCTGTGGTTCTATCTACTAATTTGGTATTTCTATGCAGGTTGGATATGCTTCCTGGTTGTTTCCAGTCAATTTTAGTGATTGCTGCACTATGTGTTACTGTTTGACAGTCATTTGTGCTAATTTGTGGTTTATTTGTGGTCATTTTAGTTTTTGTTGTGGCATGATTTCTGGATTTTCAGGATAGTTAATCTTCGTAATAATTTGTAGCAATCATTTGTGGTGATTGTACTAGTACTTTCTAAGCCTTTGTTGTACTTTGTGGTACTTCTACAGTACTCACTGGGGCTCTGTGTGTAGGGGTTTGTATTGGCATGTAGCATTGATGTTCAACTGACACAGTCAAAGGAAATTGGCTGAAATTAGTTGAACTTGTCTCATACGTGCACTTATTGTCCATTTCTCACTGTGAGGGGAACAAGCACACATGCAGCTCGGTCTACACGGGGAGACAAATACGACACATAAGGGGAAATAGATGCATCGTACAGATACACTAAACTGATTTCCCTACTCAGTCAGCAGAGGCGGAGAAACTGTGGGCCACATACAGAGAGAAAGCACAAGAGAAGGAGAGACACTCAGGAAGTTGACAGGGGAAGTTTAGTGGTTTCTTGCGTCATCATTTTATGCTGCTACTTGTGTGCCGCTGCAGAGTGAAGGTAGGAACACTCGCTTTTTAACGTTTTATTTCCTCACATTTCTACACTGAGACTCTTTCGTAAAAAGTAGACAGACAGGCAGGGATGGTGGAGAAAAGGATAGCAGTGGCAGGTGTCAGGAAGATGGAGGCAGTGGGGAGTGAGTATGAATGTCTGTAAGAGTCTATATGTTCAGGCGTAAAGAGTGCTTGACTTCCGCTGCAGTTGGAAAAAAAAAAAAAGAAAGGAGGCCGCAATGGCCGTAACATGTGGGCAGAGAGGACAGACCAGGCCCGTGTTGGGCTCAGTCCTCAAGTGTGGAGGTTTTGGTGGGTCCGCCAGCACAGAGAGACTTTATGGTTGTGATTAAAGTGAAACATTCAGAGGCTCACTTCACTGAATAGGAGAAGTACAGAGACAAGGGTGTGGCCTTTCATTCGAAAAAATAGATTGAGTGCATCAGGGGGAAGTGGAGAGCCACATTTGCACGCTGAGGATTCAGTGCAATTTGTTGTTTGATTTTGGGGGAGATTGTTGTCTGCTCAAAGAAACTTTTGTTATTTGTGCTTTTGCAGGGTGGAAGATAAACCAAAGTATGTCCTAACACTCAAGCTTTGACACATCAACTCCAATGCAACGCAGCTTACAGAGGAAACAACCTGCAGCCAACAACATGCACTGAGGCAAAGGAAACAGAAGCAGCCGCACGGTCAAATCTGTGACATGTGCAGCACCTTCTACAAAGTCAGTGTCACATTAACCGAGTTGGGCAACACATCCGGCAGCCGCACAGACACTCAGTCGGTCTGACGGTCAGAAACGGAGCAGCTCGGGCGGGTCTGAATGTGAAGGTGGATCAGCAGACAGGAAGAGATGCGGAGAGTTCGGAGAAAAGGAGGGAACAAGGAGAAGGTGTTTGGATGTGATCTGCTGGAGCACCTGACCGCCTCCTCTCAAGAGAGTAAGTGAACAGACTTATTTCTGTAACCACTTTCATGACAGACACGTCACAATACACACTAAACACATATATGTACAGGAAAATAGCAATGAATGTGCATCTTACGTCACCAGAAACAACAGTGTCGCCCAAATAACCATGCAATGTTGATGTAAAAATGTGTGTATGGATTGATATCCTTATTCAATCTGATAGGATAGAAGTGTCACTCAATCTGTTTTTGTGAATATTTCAAAACCACAAACGACATCCTCTAAACGTCACCCTACAGTTGGTAGAAGAATCATTGAACAGGACTGACTGTCGACAGCTTTTTGTCAGTTTCTCATCCTATGTGGTCAGAACATTTGTCATGTTTTTAAAATGCTTGGTTTCTCATTTTGCAGTTATGAGGCCAAAAAAGGACTCACCTATATGCCTATTTTTGTGCTTGTTCAATTATTTCTTTGTTAAGACTCAAACCACACACCATGAACCACACCAGGTCTACTTAAATGCTCTTGGTCTTGTGAGTACATATTACACGGTCCTAAATTGAGGAGACCTTTCAAAGAGTTTTATGTTCTCAGCTATGTTTTTCCCTCGGTCAATATGTTCAAATCACTCACAGCTTACTGATGTTATCCTTCTCAATACTCCATCAAATCTTAAGGCAAGATGGTTTTCTTGACTTTTGACGTTTATATGTGGCTGAACATATATTTAATATTCCAACTGCAATTGAAACGTCTATTAATTTGTTTGCAATTTGAATTGTGAAAATAGCCCTTACCAATCTATAACAATGTTTATAGATTGCCAATTCATTTTCTTTTAGTAACAAGAGTCTGCAGCCATGCTAGCGGCTCTGTGAGGCTGTGCTTTGAGCTAAATGCTAATGTGTGTCAGCATGCTAACACTCTCGCAATGACAATGTTAACATTTTGATGTTAAGCAGGTGAAATGTTTACCATGTTCACAACCCTAGTTCAGCGTGTTAGCATGCTAACATTTACCAATTAGCACTAAAGACAAAGCACAGCTGAGGCTGATGGGAATGTCTTTAGTTTTGTGGGTGTGTGCCCATGAACAAGTATTGGACAAATTGAAAAGTTGAACTGATGAGAGCGCAAGATGAAAAGTCAGAGGATCATTAGACTTATTACAATTCATGATGAGGGGAACAGGAATGTCTGTAGCAATCCATTCAGTAGTTGTTGAGACATTTGGCTCCACAAAACCACAAATGGAACCTCATGGTGACGCAGGAGGAAATGTCAGAGGATCACCAAAGTGTGTAATTCATCCTCTGTGGACCATGAATGTCTGTGCGACATTTTAGAGCAATCCATAACATAGTTGTTTGGATATTTCTGGCAAAAATAGTTTCCCAAAATCATTTATGTTATAAAAAAATGTATCTATTAAATTGTCTTACATGATTTGATACAGTACTCATATACGCCACGCTTTGAACATGTTATGATGTGATGATGATTAGAGATGCAAAACCGAACTGACGAACCGCTCAATGACAAACAAACCGAACCATGGACTTGTTGAACCGTTGAACCAGCATCTAATCCGCCTGCTAACTTAGCAGGCGGATTCTATCTCTCTATGCCAGAGAGATAGAAGAGGACCATTAAGTAGCCTGCCAGTGTTATGACTTCATATACCATGGAAGTATCATTCATTACTATTAATCAATCAATAAATCTATCTATTTATTTAGATATTTTCTAGTTCAAACACGTTTTTCTTCTCACTAATGTGCAAAAGAAACCAAACTGAAAGCGTGACCCAAAAAACACAAAAGAAACTGAACTGCGGGCTTGTTGAACCGTTGCACCGCTAATGCTAAAACATATTTGTACGATGTGTTTTGTACTTGACATATTTGGCAATCACAATGCGGTACATGCACATCAATAAATTATTATCAATCAATCCCCAGGGCTTCTTTTATTCTACATAAACATGACGTTTCAATCACAACTAGGTGTCAATGTAGAATAAAAGAAGAACTGATAACGAATGAAACAAAGAGAAACATGCAGACAAAATACACAACAACTGCATGTGTATGTTCCAAGTTAACAAATTGAACATTTTGCATAATATGATATTGATAATTTCATTAATTTATCGCCTCGCACAGTTCCTCAGGTCTTGCAATGCTGCAGTGAGTATGTTGAGAAACATGGAGTCGTGGACGGCATCTACAGGTTGTCTGGAGTGTCGTCCAACATACAGAAACTGAGGTAAGTTTCTTTGACACTATATCTGTAAATGTATAATGCAGCAAAGTTGTAATGACGCCTGTTTAATGTCTTGATATAAATTGAATCCATGTGTGCATGCAAACAGGGGGGAATTTGAGAGCGACGGGAGTCCAGATCTGAACAAGGATCTGTACCTGCAGGACATCCACTGTGTCAGCTCTCTGTGTAAAGCTTATTTCAGAGAGCTGCCAAACCCTCTGCTCACATACCAGCTCTATGACAAGTTTGCTGTGAGTAGCTCAGACATTTCACACCACCACCACCACCACCTAGTGTATAGGACTGATCACAGGGGTATAAAGTACCAGAGGTGTTGACTCCTGTCACACTCGAGTCACAAATTTGATGACTTTAGACTCAACTTGACAAATTCAAAAAAGACTTGGACTGTAAAACTAGTGACCCATGACTCTAGTTGGACTTCATACCTTCCTCTAAGCCCAACAATTACAGAATCCAATTATTTCATTTCCTGAATCTACTAACGTTTACACTAGTCATTCCCAGCAAGTTGACACTTAAGTCCCCAGATCCACTTTGTTTAAACCAATCTGTTACGTAAATTTGAACGTTACGTTAGCGGCAGCTGAAAACAATTACACCCAAGATTATTTTGTCTGCACACAAGAACTAAAACCCAAAATGAGTATTGAGTATGCAATACGTCTGAGTCAAACATTACAGATGAAGTGGCAAATGGCATCACATTTGATGAAGAGCGCATTATGACAAAGGTTAAGACTTGGGACTTGAGTCCAACCACTTGAGACTTGTGACTTGCAAAACAATGAATTGGTCCCACCTCTGTAAAGCACCTTCCCTGCCAATTCATTTATGGTGTATATAAATCATCAATTTAATTTGAATTAAGTTGATAAATTGTACTTACTTATTGATTCAGAGTCACCTCTGTGTTACAGGAGGCTGTGGCCATCCAGCTGGAGGAGGAGAGGCTGGTAAAGATCAGAGATGTGCTGAAGGAACTACCACCACCACATCACAGGTAGAGTCCAGTGTTACAATCTAAAAGCCTCTTTTATACATACATATACATAAAAAAACTGTCTTTTTATACTATAGAGAGTTATACCATCCAGTGGATACACTCACATACAAAGTCACACTATTTAGGAAGAATAGGGGCATGCACCTGCTGCCTGCCTCTTGCTCAGTTTGTCAACTCTCTGAATGCGTAGATAGGGACTCAACCTTTAGGAAACCAGGTAGGAGAAGGTTTGGTTTGGAATTATACTTTTGCTTTGGGAAGCAAACCCACAGAAATACATATAGATCTCACGACGCCATTTGTCCTGAGAAACCCTGTACAACATGATTTTGGTAATTAAAAAGGTAATTGATGTAGAACTAAATGATTTGGCCAGTTTACTTTTACTTTTATTTACTCATTGACGTTGACGCTTCACTTTCTTGCTGACAGGACTCTGGAGTTTCTGATGCGCCATCTTGTCAGAATGGCCTCATATTGCTCAGAGACCAACATGCACTCCAGGAACTTGGCCATCGTCTGGGCCCCCAATCTGCTCAGGTTTGCTGACATTATTATGCATAAAAATATATGTGTGGTCTATATCTGATGAGGTTCCTATGAGCAAGATACTGAGCCACAATCTGCCCGGACTCTGCAGGGAAATACACAAAAGCCGTTTGTGTTTCAGGATTGATTTGTAATCATGCTGTGGGTAAATTATTAGCCATTAAAGCTATGGTGGGTAATGTATTTTAAAATAAGTTTTTGATACATCAATGAATCAGAAAAAAGATGTTATCTGTGGCTGTCGCAGGACTCTAATAATATATATGACCTGTCTACCTGCCTCAGTCTTCCACATGCTGCTATAGCTTTACAGCTGTGAGTACTAACAATAGCCATGCTCATTGTTTAACTTTGTTATGAAGAACTCATTTTTGGCGAGTAGCTTTGGAGGGATGCCGGAATGGACTGCGACTTTCTCGCTAGATTTAGGTTTTGGAGCTAGTGCTGGTAGCAACTTTCATTGGAAAAGAGTTTAAAAAGGGCCGTTTTAAAAAATAGAAATCCAGCCTTGCTGGTTTCTCCAATGTGTTTACCCACTATAAGCTAATTATACATGATTCAAATGACCTAATATGACGATATTATACATTTTTACATGTTTTCTTTCTTCATTTTCCTTCACTTTCCTTCTTCATTTCTTTCGGCATTCATTCATTCTCTCCATTTATTTATTCACTTGTGTTCGTCCTTGCTTCTTCCCTTCCAACATGGATTAAATTTCTTCCATTCTTCCTCAATGAATGAATGAATCTGTATGTTAAGGTCAAAGGACATTGAGGCGTCTGGGTTCAACGGTACAGCAGCCTTCATGGAGGTCCGGGTTCAGTCCATCGTGGTGGAGTTCATCCTCACACATGTCCCTCAGCTGTTTCCTGAACAAGGTAACACACCAGCATGATAATAACACTCAATATTGTTTCACTTCATTTATTCTGTATGAAATGCAGCTATTTGAGCAGCAAGTGAGAAGTCTGGAACCGAGCTGAGAACACACACACTTACCTGTGCAACACTGTACTACTGACCTACTTCTGCCGTATTCAGGTGAATCAGATGAGAGAAGGAAGTCCCTCCCCTCCCCGTCACCAATGCCCAATCAGGAGGAAGGGTTTTTCAAGTCCACTTCTACTTATCCTTTCCCCCACTTTGGTCATATCAGTCCAGGAGACGGTCCTCTACCCATAAGACCATACCACGCAATCATTGAAGGCACTGACAAGTGAGGAGACTCGTTTATTTATTATGCCAGATGTGGTTGATGGGAAGTTTTTCATACAGAAGTCAATCATTATCAGCTGGTACATACTGTTGCAGCTTGGAAAATAAACAGATTTTATGACAGTGACATCATGCAGGCGTTGAGAGACCCGTATCTCATATTAAACCTGATTTAAGTTTGCTGCAATTATAATATTACATCATTGAATCTTAGAAAAAAAAGGATCCTGAGACTTCTTTTCTGTGTCTCGTTCAGGAGGAAAGGATCTCTCAAAGGCAGGAAGTGGATGTCCATCTTCAACATCGGAGGACGATTCCATGACCCACGACGGAAACACAAACACTCATCCAAAGGTACAAAACCTCGTCATGGTTATTAGTCCTGGTAGTCGCTCCTATCCTTGATAATTTCCTTTTAAATCGATTGCAATGTGTTTATTATATTTTCCCCACATTCTACAATAATAGATTCAATATGTAAAAACCTCTCATTCAAGTTTATACTTGTGTACAGGGGAAGATTACTCACTTCTCTGACATTTCTGTTGAACACTGATGATCTAAATACTTGTTTCTTTGTTCCAGAGAAAGACAGGCCTGCTTTGAGACCAGCGAGAAGCATGGACTCCCTCAGCTCGTCGCCCTTTCCAAATGAAGGTGCTGCTCTTGTCACATATTTACCAACATATTTCATCAGAACAATGAATGAATATTTCAACAATAGTTAAATTAACTCTTTACAGACTGAGTTTAAAAATGACTAATCAATCATTTAAAAAGGACATTTGAAATACTCAAAATGTCCTTACATAAACAACGTCCATGTTACTCTGTATCATCAACATTGGGACTATTCTATTCATACATACTATTTATTTTGGTTGAAAATAAAGCTATAAACTGCATCACAATGTTTACATTTGTTTTTCCCAGTCATCCTTTACATCAGATTAAACAGCTAACAACAGTAAACCGTCAAACTGCGCCTCTGGTCTTATCTGTCTGTATTTTTCCAGGTTCCAGACATACGGCCCAGCGTCCTCCGTCCACCCACATGTCTCCCATCATCACCCCCTCCCCCCAGTCCGGCTCTGAGGTCACGGCATCCGCCGGTGCGTTAGGTGGCAGTGAATACGCTGTAACCTACCGCAGGGGAACAGGGTTAGTGAGCGGGGGTACGGGGACCCAGGGCACCTACACGTCCCTTGACCCCGAAAGTTTAGGACTCTCAGACAGCGATACTCTACAGTCCAGATCCCCAGGGCTCTCCACTAAAGGCCGAAGAGCAGCCATGCACATCACCGGGCCCACCATGGTTACTGTGCCCCTGCATATCACCTCTAACCTGGCATTAGGGGTGCTGCAAGGGGGCGGGGGCGACAGGGTCATCCACCGGGGCAGGGATAGAGAAGGAGTAGATAGAGTGGAAGGTAAGGAGAGACGAGGGAAGGCGGGGAGGAGGGAAAGCAGAGGAGTGGAAAGGAAGGTGGAAGAAAGCAGAAAGGTTGAGGAAGAAGAGAAAAGGCCCAAGGGGAAAGGGACAGACGGGGGAGGGGTCGTGGATGCTGAAGGGAGTGAGGTGGTGGGTGGTGGTGGGGAGGAAGAAGGGAAAGAAAAGAAAGAGGAGAAAGGGGAGGAGGTCAGAGAAGAATGTAAGCCGGAGCTGGTGGTGGAAGGTCCATGCGTGTCCAGAGAGCAACGAGCCAAAAGGCAGACCTCCAACGCTGAGGGAGATAATGATGTCGATGAATACATGGGTAATTTCACCTATTTCATAACCATACGAGTTTATTTTGTCTATACCACATGAATAAATAATGTAAGATCGTTTCATGGTTCATTCACAGACATGAAAGTGGTGAAGCCGGTTGATTGTCAGCCCGAGGCGACTCAGCGTGGTGATGACTGTGTGTTCGATGCTTCCAACGTCCTCAATTCAACAGAAGTGGAGGAGGCCGACCAGGAGCTGTCTGGCTACGTTCAAGATAACTTTGATTTCCTGGACCACATGGACTGCAGTGTCCCCCAACAGGTGTGTTGTGTGTTGCTTGATCTGTACAGTACAGACGAGCTTTGAACTCTATTTAAAGTTGGAAAAGATACATGTAAAGTTTTCTCCCTTGCACTCTTTTCCACTTTTCTGTCTCTTTTCACCTCTCAGGTGAACGAGTTCTCCGTTGAACCTCCAGGTCACTCAGATGACGAGTATGAATTTATGGAGCAAGCTCCTGCAGAGCTGCAGGCGGACCTGCAACCAGGCCCCGACACACCAGCCCAGAGCCAGACAGAGTTAAATCTACACAGGCCGCTCAGCATCGACTCACAAAACCGACACACTAAATCCCTCAGCTTGCCTCACATGACCTCACCCGTCTTCGGATCGCTGGAGTCCTGCTCTGAAGAGGAGGCTGCAGTGGAAGACAGTGATGATAATGATTACAGTAGTGAGGATGATGAGAGCATCTTTGCAAAAAGCCTTCCCGCTGACTTCTTTTTAGATGATTTGACCTTAGAAACGGACACTGATAAACAGGACAGCTGCACTCTTGATGGGGTTCCTGTGCACCAGTCAAGGAGCTCTGAGGACGGAGAATGCCAGTCCCTGAACGTTGAATTTGCTGCATGTAAAGAATCAACTGCTGCAGACCAGGAGCAGGTGGAAGTGAAAGACAAAGGGGATGAAGATGGACTGAGAGAAAAGGAGATAACAAAGAAGGAAGAGGAAGATCACCGGGGAAGAGACCAACCAGAAAACAATAGACAAAGGTGAAACTCATTCCTATTTGACATTTAACACAATATGTATTTATCACAGAATGCACATTTAAGGCTGCTTTAATCATGATTTTTACATCAGGTTAGACATGTGATGTCAAAGGAGTCGCTTGTAGTGATAAAGACCATTGCACAGCAAACCAGTATTCAAATATTTGCAAATATTGACATAAATGAAGTCAAGTCCGTACGAAATATGCAAACAGTAGATCTCATCCTGTTGCACAGTGGGTTTAGCTCATATAAATGAATAAATATAAAATCATCAAAATTCACTGGAACTTAATTTTACAAACCTTACAAACCAGTTTTCCAAAGCAGGATATTGCTTTCTTAAATATATCTATCTGTCATTCATCCGCAGCAAAGCGACAGAGGAAGATGTCATGGAGGATTCTCAAAGTGACAAAGAACAGCTTCTCCCTCCAGAGGTATCAACCTACGGCTACGCTGACTGTCCACCGCCCAGCGATGATGAATCAAGCGCCGTGGCCGACCTGAACATTGAGGAGGAAGAGGCGGACATGTTTGACAATCATCACAGTGATTATCCACCTTGTCATGAAGTTCCTCGTGCTACACAGGAAGACACTGTTGACATTTCTTCAGAGGAGTTCAGAGACTTTCCTGTAAGTGCAACAGAACAGCCAACAAAAGAGAGAGACCATGATGAGGGAGAGGACAGTGAGGTAAACAAAGAGATAGAAGACATATGTCAAGAAATGGTACCGGGGATAAAAGAAAGTGATGATAACATGTGGGAAGAATCCACCGAGGAGGGCAATGAAGTGACGGCTGAAGAAAAACACGAAGAAAAGATGCAGGGCGGTGACAAAGAGCAGGATAGTGCAATTTGGCAGACAGGCAGGGAAACTTGTGTTGAACTTCAGGATGTTATGTGGGAAATGATAGAGGTTGAGGAAAGTAAGCAGGTTGAGAGGATGGATGCAAGTTTTGCTTGGGAGGGAGATACGATCAAAGATGTCAGAGTTGGAGACGAGGAAGTGCCGGCAGCAAAGGTTTCAGGAGAGGAAATGTTGGAAGTTGACGAAGGAGAGACAAACAAAGCAGAAGTCAGAGTAGAGGTAGTGGAGGAATCAACGGAGGCGACTGAAGAAAAGCTCGCAGACCCAGAGATGCAGCGTGAGTTTGAGGAAAAAGAGGCTAACTTACCACAGACAAGTGAACTAGAAGACCCAATTCACAGGAATCCTGCCATCAGTGACGAAGCACAGCATCACGAAAGAGAAGAAGTGGTTTCAAAAGAGAAAGAAAAAGACAACGATGACAAAGAGAGAGCTGATGAGCAACGTAGAACGCAGCCAAGTGTAGATAAACAAGTTAAAGAGGCCAGGTGTGATGTGAGGGAATCCAACGAGGGCAGAAAATGTGAGGAAAGTGACAGCAGCCAAGGAGGAGTAGGAAGGAAACTGGTCATCTCCAAACATCCAAAGGTTTACCAAGCGAAAGCGGTGCCGATCGTGCCTCCGAAGCCGCAGCACTGCAAAATCACCGCCCTGACACTCCGACAGCAGCAGCAGCAAAGAGATAAAAGAGAAAACACGGCGAGGGTCCCAACAGAGCAGGACAAGGTCTGGGTGGGAGACGGCGAAGATGAGGGCAGGGGGAGGAAGGAGAGGCCAACACTCTGGGGAGGGGAGAAAGGAGAGAGGGAAAGGAGGAGGGACGGGGAGGAAAACGCCACGAGGGACTCGAGCAGAAACAGTCCCCTCAGCATGTGTTTTGACGAGGCTGTTGCCAAAGCCACCATGAGGCGAGAGAAGGAGAAAGAGTGCGAGAAGGAGAAGGAGAGGCAGAGGGATTGGGGAAATGAAGTACAGTGAAGGTTCTTTTTCTTCATCTGTATATTGATTTGAAGTGATTTGACTGTACAAACTATTTTTCTATGTGTAGCATAAGGGGCTGTATTTGTCATTCAGAATAAGTCTCAGTATTGTCTATGCAATGCTACTGAAGATGTTAAGTATTTTTTATTAGAGAAAGAGCTGTAGAGAGAGCTGAAAGGTAATGAGGGAAAAGTGATGGACGAAATGCAACACCCCATCAGGAAGCTAATAAAGTAATAGCTGCAATTATGCTACCTGAAGTTAAATAAAACTGAAACTGTAAGCAAACAAAGAGGCCGGACTAAAGGTGAAGAGCTGCTGAAACATGTTGAGGATGAAATATTACATTTAAAACTCAGAACTTTCATAGCTTCCATGCTCTAGGTCTGTAAAACGTTACAAAAAGTAAAGCGATTAGTCTTAAATCAAGCTCACTCCTGTCTGCAGTTGTCGTTCAATTCCATACTTTGTAATTATATAAAGTATATTGTATACGGAAGGTCATATGTATAGATAAACAGTATAAGTATATGGTTAAATATTAGATTTGAAAGAGAATGAGTGATGAATATAATGTCTGCAAAAGTAAAGGTTATTTCTTGGTTATGGGAATAAAAACATGTTTCCAAGATAGTGTCTGTCCTTTTATTTGTATAATCATTATTATTGTTCATTATTTTTCTTCATGTTTATTAATTTAAACTCTCTTGAAACTAGATAGAGCCGTTGCATTATTGTTATTATAATAATATATATAAATATGGCATACGGCTTGAGAGTTAAATGTATACAGTTTTATGGCCTTGCAATTGTGTATTTGCAGTTTGACACCGAAAGACAATGAACTAGAAATTGGTTTAAGAATTTGCTGGTGTGAATTTGGTATAAATAAATAAATAATTTGGTATTTGATAGTAGGTACTTTTTCTTGTCATCAACTGAAAAGTGGGATGGAGATTTGTGATTCACGTTTATTAGAAGAGTTACGCCAGTTACGTCTACATCTGCCTTCCACGTCACATCCGTCCTGTAATTCTACCGGAAGTAAACCAAAAATAAAGCAGCTGGGAGGCGTTGTGCCTCACTGCAGAAGCCCCGGCTGTTTAATGAAGCGTGACATTTGCGTCTAACCGTGTTTTTAATTTCACTCTGCAGGATGTCTTTCGCCTCCTCTTTTGCTACGCAGATGGCCGCCATCATGGATGTTTTAACGAAGGCTGCGGTCGCAGAAATAACGAAGCTGGTGGAGGACGGAAGTGTGGTCCTGTGCCTGGAGATTTGTCAGAAAGACAGTGAGATCCAGGAGCTCAAAAGAAGTTTGAAGCTGATGGAAGTTGAACTCTGCAACGCTCAGGAAGCAGCAGCCACGTGCCGAGCTGCGGAGGACAATCAGGAGCAAACAGCAGCCGGGAATCAGGTCCTCCGAGGCGGTTAGTCCTCATCTGGTTCTGCACGAGGGAACCATCACAGCCAAACTTCATTCAAAAACTATGAAATTCAGAGTTTGCATTCGTTTAAAACGCATGTTTTGCATGTTAGAATACAACTTAAGATCCTTAACGATTGTTTATGGTCTACTGTTAAATTTGGCTTGAAGATGAATCCTTCATTTTTATACAATCTTATTTATTAGACTGTAAGTACAACATTAGGCATTCGTGTTTTGTGAAGCAATTCTGACGGTGGAAAGTTTATTGTAGTAAGTTGATGTAATGGACATAGTATACTGAGTTGATGAGGAGTTCATGTGTTGCGTTCGGGAAAAGTAATTTCATGCTCCTCCAGAACTGGACATCTTCCAACAGGATAAGTAAATAGCCACGACCTCTTATTGTCCTCAGGAATAACGAACAAGCTTCATACCCACATGTAGGGCAATAAATCTACCAGTCGAACATCAAACAATGTGGAAAACCTGATGGAAATATAGCCGCAAGCCGCAATTACAGATTCAACCCTTTTATGTTCTACAGATGCAATTAGTTCTAATGACCCACGCAATTATCCAGGTTGAGTGCTTTGATATGTTGTCATTTTCACAAGTGTTTAATTTACAGATTTTTTTTTTCTTTCTGTCGATTTCAGATAAAAAGCACGATCAGAAAACATGTGCCGTGTATCTGGAACCAAAGTCTGCTCTCTCCCTGTGCGAGCCTGGACCTGGAACAGAGGAGAGCCACGACACGAGGCCAGCGGTGAAACACGAGGCCGCGGATGAACTCTCCACCCAGGGAACAACAGACAACACGATAACGGCGGGCATTTGCTTCGAGGCGGCAGAGCGAGATGACCCGATCTGGCCTCCTCCTGCCTGCGGCATGTTTGAGGAAAGCTCTCTTGCAATGCAGCCGCACATACAGATCCTCCCCCCTCAGGCTGAGCAATACGCTGCTCATAGAAACACAGAAAGATCCAGTAACTCTTCATCAACGGCAGCAGAGGAAATCGCAGACGCTTCCTCAAGTGTGCCGATAAAAGTAGAGGTAGAGATTCGACCTACGTGCATGGGAAGCACCACTTTAGAGTCGGTTTGTAATGAACGGATCAGACATGCTTCACACCCTGCAGTCAGTCAGGACCAGCAGGGCTTGCAGTCTGCTTTGCAACAGGCCGGGCCATCACTGGCCCCGCCTAACGCACAGACGTCAGCGGCGAAGACATTAGGACTAAACACAGAAAATCCCATCCTCAGTAGAAACAACCTGAGAGCAAAAATGCTGCTGAATGTTTGGAAAACAAATCAGAAACCGTTCATCTGCTTGGTCTGCAACAGGGGTTTCCCTCGCATGTGTCAGCTGGAAGAGCACAAGGCCAGCCACCAGTTCTACAAACCTTTCTGGTGCCTCGAATGCGGGAAATCCTTCACCCAGAAGACGCGGCTGAAGACGCACCAAAGCGTGCACACGGGGGAGAGGCCGTTTAGCTGCAAAATCTGCGGCAAGATGTTTTCGAGGCAGGACAACTGCACGAGACACGAGCGGTTCCACAGCGGGCTGAAGCCCTACAGCTGTGGACAGTGTGGTAAAACCTTCACTGTGCTGGGTAACCTCAAAATACATGAAGAGATTCACCAGCAAGGGAGATAGCAATACTTCACCCTCACTGAGAGAATTCGCTCAGTGTACTTTGACAGTTTATGATGCATTGAATGCAGCCACAGAATGTCCAGCATGTATTTCAGGGGGCAAAGCAGGGAAGCAAGGTTGTTATATTTATGAATTTCTCTAAACGGTGTACTTTATGGAAATGCAGACTCCTCATATCGCCCAACCATACCCCAAACACATGCCGTTATCTGTAGTTCGTCATGTTTATTTCAACCTTGGACTTCTGTTATGTAACCGGCTTCTTGTGGCCGTTGTTGAGGACGGCCTCGGATAGATTCACAGCTGTGAAACCGGTTCTATTAGAGATGAAGGAAGCTGTGTTGTTGCGGTGCTGTTACTGACTTTATGAAGCGGGTTGGGTATCTGCCATGAACGATCCAAATCAAATGCACTTTACTGTCAATATAAAGTGTAGTGCCTCTGCTGCCAGTTGAATTAATTCAGTCACCGCAGGCTGCCAGTACATGTTGTTTTCATGGCTCATGTTACATAATAATGATTCCAGCTAGTTCTACGCTGTTTCAGAGAAAGAGAGCACATGTGTCGGATCAGTACTCTGCATTGACGGATATCCTCACCTCGGGTATAGGAATCTGTATCAGGAGAGAAAAAGTTGGGTCGGTGCACCAGGTTTTGTTTTCCAGTTTCATCTCACTGTTGTCGGAGTGCCTTGGACATGTTCTGGTAATCCTTTCCTTTGTTGGTACTTTTGTGACGTTCCTTTGTCTTCGTGATGGCGGACCTTTCCAGATACCGACCGTGTATTTGACCTGAAATGAATTGTCACACGAGATGTTTATTCAACGTATCATGCGGCACAATGCAATCATTTGGGTGCACCGGTGATTATGTAAATGTGCCGTCGTTAAGGGAGTTTGGTTATATGTGCCAATGCAATAAATTATTGTTTTAATATTTACACTTAATTTAAATTTGTCTGTAGAGATTTGATGTCTCTTGACGTTAAAGTTTGTAAATGTTCCCAATTTAGTTTTAAAGGTTTGTCTTTCAAGTTTTCTCTGAATCATTTTCACATACATACATACATACATACATACATACATATATGTAACATGTACTATAAATGGATCTATTTATCAGCTATTGTTTTTTTTTAAATGTATTTGTCTTTGTTTGGAATATGAACTTTCTATATTATGAATATGGTTGAATTAATTAATATTTTGTTGGGAGAAAAGGGGACTTAAAATGCTTTTAAAAAATAAAGTAAGTTAATGGTTGTCTAATCTCATTGTGTCTTCTTTTAGACATGGGGTCTGAAACACAATACTGCTTGTTAAGGGAGGCAAAAAAGTAAAAATTCCTGAGGTAAACAAGATAAACTCTATTTTGATGCTTTTTTAAATGCATACAGCCGCCATTTACATTAAATGTTCTGCACTACATTTATCTGACAGCTTGAGTTACTTTACAAATTCAGATTATTAATACATAATATAATTACTAATACATGATATATTGGATAAATAATACATTTTTTCTCTATTTCCTTTCTTCTCTGCTCTTCCCGCTGACAATCAGAATTCCTTAAGATTATGTAAACAGACGGACATATCTAGAGTTTACTATTTGATGCCACGCTTTTTTTTTACTCCACAAATTGTGTTCCTATGCTTTTCAACTTTTTTATTATAATTGTATTAATTTATTTGACAGGGATGATACATATGGGCATTGTTACATTTAAATAAAATACAATAAATGCAATGTATATAGGATATCTAGTCGTATATAATTTACAATATATATATACATTATATTATAATTATAAATAATCTAATTATTATTAGACTAGATGTCCTATATACATATAATATTACTGCTGCTTGGATTATTTCCAGTATGTAACCTGTTTAATCTGAAGGGCCTTGCGTTGCGCCTTTCCACCTGTCTTTACGGTATTTATGTCATCACTTCCGTAAAACGAGAACTTGTGTTTATTCTTTGTACCAATTAGCTGCTGCTAGCGGAAAAGCGGTCCACATTAAAGCCAACACCAAGCTAAGGAAATAGCCCCAGTTTGTAAGCGTCCAGCGGCTTCAGCCATGGCTCGTTCCGGTTAAATAGGCGAGGAAGTTGCAGACACGTTTCTCTCGCTGTGGAGTTCAGGGCTTCCCCCCGCCACGTTGTTGTTGTTTTTTTTTGTTAAAAAAACTATGCTGAGCAGTGTTGCTCTGCGGGCTCAGATAGCCTCCATAATCGATGCCTTGTCCAAAGCAGCCGTGGCAGAAATCGCCAAAGTTGTGGAGGACGGCATGGTGGTGTTGCGGCTGGAAATGTGTCAGCGAGAAAACGAGATCCAGAAGCTGAAGAGCAACATCGAGGTTCTGCACAGCGAGCTGAGGTCGCTGCAGGAGAGCGTGACCCTGCGACCCGACAACCACGGTGAGATGGCCCTGACACAGACGGACCCAAAACACCCGTTATCTACCGTGTTAACCAGGGATGCACTTGTCTTACAGCACACCTAAGTATTACACTGATGTAGGAGACACGAGGACGAGTTTATTAGGGCTAGAAATGCACAAATCTGCTTTCTACACCCATCTGACCGGATCATGGTCTGCTTCACTAAAGAAGTACCTTGTGGAGCAGGACACTGAAATAACTTCACATTTATGAACACTGTCACTAAGGTGGTTGAATGCCAGCAGTATTGTGTTACCTTAAAAAATCAACACCAGGCTGTCATGCGACAGCTCCAAAGATGCCATCAAAGACAATCAAAAGCATTGATTTGATGTAAACTAAAAGACAAATGAGTGATGCATCCACATTACATATGCAGTCCAAAAATAATAGCAGTGAGTAAAGCCCAAAATCCTTATAACAGCTTTTATTCCCATACACGCCAATGCATTGGGAACACTGCACATTCTATTCCAAATCAAAACACGAAGAAACATTTATCAAAGTTGTTATTACTTTACAGAAAGTGAAGAAAAAGGAATATTAGGCTGTTCAAAAAAAAAAATAGCACTGTCTGCATATGTCTTTACAAACTCAAACATTTAGTGTATAAATGGAAAAATGCTTGAAGATTTAGCTTCCCTGTGAATCACTGAACTAATATTTAGTTGTATAACCGCTGTTTCTGAGAACCGCTTCACATCTGTGTTGCATGGAGTCGACCAAATCCTGGCACCTGTGAACAGGTATTCCAGCCCAGGACGATTGGACTACATTCCACAATCCCTCTGCATTTCTTGGTTTTTCCTCAGAAACAGCATGTTAAGGATTTTGGCCTTTACTCACTTTTTTAAGCACACTGCTATTATTTTGGACACAACTGTATATATGATGCTGATGCAGTCAATCTTTGTATCTTTGCATTAGCAGCTTGATTGCCTAGTAGTTCAAATGACTTCTGTGCTTTCAAAGGAAATTACTTTTTCATAATTTCTTTAATTTCGAAGACCCTATGATCGTCCTCGGCCTTTAATCCATTCCTCCAGCACTGCCAACATTTATGATGGCAGGGGCATAGCATAGGAGTGGACTTTAGCCCCCCCTTTCCTCTCATGTAGGTATGTCCCCCCCTTGACAATCTATAACATGCCCTCACTCGACTGGGCTTTACAGAGTCTTATAGTGAGTGTCAGTTCAGTCTGTCACTTAAATTGACTGTTTTTGTTGACTCTCATGATGTCGGTTTCAGTGAAAAAGCTCTTTTAATTCCACTGTGCACTGCCCTCACAGCACCAAACAGCAGACAGACAGAGTTAGCTGGTGAACGTAGTGGAGCATTTAGCAGCTAAAGGCCCACATATTTCCCTCGGGAGTTGGTGGAGACACAGAGCTAAAAGAGAGTAAATACTGTGCTTGTGTTTGCCAGGTGGGCACAAAAACACACACTTAAAATGAAGGATAATGTTTCTCTGTAACTGTTTGATGAATAAATACGTTGGCAAGTTTGTTATATCAGCTTTAGATATGATGATATGTCAATGTCACTACGTCATAAGTGCTGAAAAAGCTAACCGCGTTTACCTGAAGGAACTGGAGGGTGGGTACTACGCTTCTGTGATGATGGGGTACTGGCAACTCAGGACCCTGGCAACTTAGGACACTGGCAATTTAGGATACTGGGAACTTAGGATACTGGGAACATGCATACGCTCCCTTGGCCATTACCATTATTTTTTTCCTACTCGCATCTATCAATTTTAATAAACTAATACACTGTTATTCGACTTTCTCATTGCCTCTCCACAGACAGTCAGAGAGTCGTTGGTGATGAGAGGACCTTGTTTGAAAATGGGCCCACTGATAAGAACCATAACCATATGGACCATAACGGCCTGTCCATACCTGAGGTGCAGGTGAAATGTGAACCTGTGGAAGAAGGAAGTGAAGAGAACAGAGGACAACCTGCCCAGCTGGGAGAAGAAGCGGCCTTGTATCAAAGGGACAACGCACAATGGAGGCCGGCGACGCAAACTCAGACAGGACGCAACAACTCAGATTATTTCAATTTAGGGCACGACTCTCTGTCGTGTCTCCCTGAATCTCCTCTGGACACCGGACCGGCTGCGCCCTGCAGCAGCTCCGGTGGGTTTCAGCCGAGCCCGTTCAGCCGCGGGCTGCTGGGTTACAGTCAGTATCGCAGCTCGTACAACGCGGTGCGGAGGAGGACGGCGGCGGCGGCGAAGAGGTTGATGTTTAAGAAAGGCTTCATCTGTTCGTACTGCGGTAAATGTTTTCAGCGTGCCGGGCACTTGGAGAGGCATAAAAGGATTCATACCGGTGAGAAACCGTATCGCTGCGAGATATGTGGGAGACAGTTCAATCAGAAGTGCAGCCTGAAGGAGCACATGAAGATTCATGGAAGATGTAAGTAAAAAGTACCTCATTGTCTAAGCAAATGAAGTCCTTCCTTTGGTCAACAACTGTTTTTAAACAACAGTTTGTAATCTGAAGCTCATTTCCATGAATTAGTGAAAGACTTTTTAAAGTGTCAGTTAGATTAGATCTACATGCCAAGCAAGGTGTTGTCCCAAAAGAGTCTGCTCAGGCAATATTCTCTTTATAATTGTCTGAAAATGAAGACATTGTTCCGAGTATTTTCTTGCTCAGGGAGGTCGGGACCTTTAGCAGTGGAGCTGATGTGGAGCTGATGTGGAGCTGATGTGGAGCTGATGTGGAGCTGATGTGGAGCTGATGGGGATTTATGTGTCTAAGGTCTCTTCAGCAGAGCAGGATTAGGGAGACTCACATGGTCCTTGGGGATCAAACCTAGATGCCTGTGATCACTGGCTCTCTGTTAAAAAGTGCCCCGTTGACAGCTGTGTTCACCTGGCTGGCGTATAAGAAGGCCGGCCTCTTATATCCTCTCTGCTGCCCAGAGCAAAGACTCGTAGGATATTAATTACTGGGGTCACGTCTCACTTCATGTTGACATTACGTATTGTGAGGCCTTTTTTTAGGTGGCAGCTTCACCTGTATGCATCCGTCTGTGGTGTCAAATCCAAAATACTTTCACACCTTTCCTCTCAGATGGTTTGGTTTCGTGATTTTTATTTTTTTCTGTGCAGCACGGCTCGCTGCTGTTTTGCGTTTAAAAAAAACTTTAAGAGCCTACGATAGATTGTAGTTACAATACGTCTTACAAAATTTTAACAAAATTTTATTGTTCGTTCACACAAAGATTTGTCTGGCATCACATGCTCCAATCAATCAACAGAATAACTTAAAAAACATAAAACTATACAAAAAAAAACATCTGAAGACCCGACGCAGCATCTGAGATGAACGCACACGACACATATGACGGTAAAAGTACATGTGATGTCTTTTTTCTACCTAAACAGGTATTCAGCCCAAACCCCTTGAGATGGAAGTAGGCGAACAGAAGCATATTCTTCAGCCCAAACCCCTTGAGATGGAACAGAAGCACATCCCCGAGGTGAATCCACGTACGGATGCTCTTCGCCCTGAGGAAGAGAGCCAGGTGAAGGCTGTGGACGATCTACCTAAGAATGAGGACATCCTCTCAGCACCCGTACACGTGAAGTGTGAGCCTGCAGAGGAGAACATAGCACCGCCGCTGTTTCTTGGAGGAGACGAGCAGACAAGGGAAGGAGGTGACGACCTGAGTGAGAACTTAGCAGCGTTTGCGAGGGACAGCCACCAGTGGATGTCCAGGTTGCAAGCTCAAAGCAACACGGAGCTCGGCGATGCGGAGTATCTCGGCAGCTCGGCTCAGAGCGTGGCGTCCTTCCCGGGGATGGCTCAGTTACTTCCGCCAGCAGTCGAAGCTTCTTGTAGCACATTCTCCTTTCCGGGGAAACCGTATGGGGAACTCAACAACGGCATGGTCTCCCACACGCCTTACGGCTCCTCAGACACTCTCATGATACCGAGTGAAGCAGGTTTGCACGGTGCGGCTGGAACCTCGCTGGATCACCTCCTGCAGAGAGGGAGCAGGTCTTTTCAGGTGATCAAACCCAAGAAGTGCTTCGTCTGCTCGTACTGCGGGAAGGTGTTCGAGCGCGTCGGCCACCTTGAGAGACATTTACGCATTCACACCGGGGAGAAGCCGTACGGTTGCCATATCTGCGGGAGGTGCTTCAATCAGAAGAGTAGCCTCAAGAGCCACATGAAGACGCACAGAATTGGTAAGAGATGAACTGTCATTCCCAGATAAGCTACGGACCCGGGTCGAATCCGACCAGTGGCCCTCTGCTGCATCTCATCCCCGAGTCCAAGTTGTCACGTTCAATTTACTTTTTTTGTCCAACCAAATGTCCAAAACTCTACATCTTTAGTTCAGTATCATTGAAGACCATGCATTTTGGGCATTTATGCTAAAAAAGCAACAACTTTAAAATAAATCAGTGACCAAAACGTTGACTACATCCATAACAAAGCGTGTTCTCTGAAATTTAGAAACATTTCCTAAATGTCTTGAGGTCTTTCAGGGGAAATATTAAATTAACCGTATATTTAAACCAATATTTCATTTTAACTCCACCGTTTACTAGATCCACATCTTGCATGCAAGCATCACAGCTGTAGGTGAAAGCAAAATGAGAGTTTATCTTATTTGCTCATTTAATTTTTATCGCCTGCTTTTTCCCCGAACAGGTGAGAACACGGAGGTGCTGGAAGCACATCACCCGATGTTTGCAATGCCCGAAAATCAATCGCCGAAGAACCTGGCAGAACCCAAGACCGGGCTGGCGGCTTCAGAGGAGCAGTTGCTGGGCAGCGCATACGGCGAGGCAGCTGGTGAGCAAACAGTGATGGTGAAGCTGGAGCCAAACGGGGAGGACTTCCACACTCTGAGTCGAGCAGGGGCCGAGAACGGCACAGACCACAGTCAACTGTGGGCACCTGGGATAGAGAAGAGCAGCGACACTGAACAAACCATCCGTGTAATGTTACGCGACGTCAAGTATCACCTCAGTCCTGCTACCGGAGCGGCCAATGAGCAGCCGGGATACACGTCGCCCATAAGAGACATGTCTTTTCTGAACGACAAAGAAGAGGAAGAAATGACGCAAGCTGATCAGTATTCAGCGATGGGTGTGCATTCCAGACGCCCTGACGGGACTCTTGAGCAGCAAGATCAACACGTTACACAAGAGCTGTCAGTGAATGAGTACGCAGCCGTTAGTGCCAGGACTCACGGGGGAGGAGGGTTTGAATTTAATATGGCCGCCTCAGGCAACCGTGCGGTTAACTGTGACACAGAGGACGCCACCGGGCAAAATTGCTTTATATGCTCAACTTGCGGTCAGAGCTTTGATAGCTTCAGTTCATTCCAGAGGCACCAGTGTAAAAATGTCACGGAGCAATCCTTCAGCTGTGAGGTATGCGGGAAGATGTTTAACCAGATTAGCTTCCTGAAATTACACCTTAAACTGCATGTAGAGTAATTACTTTGCAATTTACACGACTTGGAAAAATACTTCCAAGAACAAAACACTAGTTTTCTATATGCAGTAACGATTAAGAACAATCTTTTGTCACATTTCCAGAACATAATGTACTTTGCACAACATGTTTTCCTTCTGTTTTGACCTCCTCCACCTCTCCTTCGCTTACAAAACAGTGTCCGGTGTTTCACGTGGCATCTGAAGCGGTCACGGTTTCTAAGTTGTTGTAATCATTTGTTTTATGAATGCGGTAATGGTCCGTTAACATTAAGTAAATGTTGATCACTGCACTAACTGGAGTGCAGGTAAAAGTGAACCAGTCCCAAGACATTATGGTCTTGACTAAAAGTATGATATTATCATCACTACTGACTGTAACTCAACCTTTCTCAGTCCAACTAAAGTAACCTCACACAGAAGCACATGCTTCACGTCCCTTCAATGATATTTAATCTGAAATGTGTCCTTTAATTAACGAGAATCACTTTTGCACTGGTGCTGAATTTCCAGATTGGAGACATGCTTTCACGTGTCAGCGCACTGTTTGTTCATTATTGAGAGGTAGGGTTTGATGATAATGTACTTTTTGGCTAAAAAAAAAAGTATTTGACTGAATTGGAACAACGAGAAATCTAGCACTGGTTTATTCTCTGTTCAGATGTTTTACTGCCAAATAAGAAAAAATGTGAAATCAATCAGTTTCATCATTTGATAAGACAGTCCACTGTTGTTTTTTTGTACTAAGACACTTTTGTGTTTATACAATCAGAAAATATGGAATAATGCCAAGTTTCTCTTTATAGGAGGACGCAGTGACGGTACGACTTTGTCTCTCATGGAGATGTGTGCTGTTGATAAAACAGACACTAGTGTCTTAATTTTATGTTGAACCAAACAAGCCCTACCCTAACAACAATGTACTGTATACCTCACATTACTATGGCCTTCAAAGCTGCATGTGAATATGTTTTGATAATGTTTGATCAATATTCTTTCAAAAGGCAGATTTAAAGCAGCTGTTGTCAGGCCAGGACTTCAAACAGACCGGGTAATGTTTTTTGTTTTTGGAGAAAGGGAAAGAACTGCAATAAGTTATTGCTAAATCATATGAAGCTAAACTAAAGAAATGTGAAATACCTCAGTAACACACAGGGTCTCCATCGAGTATTTGGAAAAGCAATTTGAAGCTTGTCTTTGGTTTGTTCTCCCTTTGACTGATATTTATTTTGGGGGAGATATTTCTTACATTATGCCCGAGGTTCATGATGTTATCGACCAGATAGAACAAAATACACAGCCAGTGTTGAGCATTAAGCACACGGAGAGCTGTAATATAAAAGTCATTTAACGGGTTGAGTTAATTGTTGGCATTTGTTCGGAGAAGGTGGCCGGACCTGAAGAGGCCATTTGATATAGTTTGACATCACTTCCACTCCAGCTGAGCCCACAGAACGGGTGACGAGTGCCTTCTGTGCACTCTGCGGTGTTGTTCTTTCCTTTTTTTGATTTAACGAGTTCTCACTGATCAATGATTGTCAATCTGACACCCGGCTGTAGCGTGATTCATTGCTATCGCAACTGTTTATCACATTATACAGAATGTTGGATTATGTTTGAACCAACGGTTATATTGGGAGAATCTGCTTTTCTTTGTTTAGCTTTTCGTATTTTTAAATAAATAAAAAAACATAAGTTAAATGAATTGTGAAGTCTCTCTGGTTTCATGTCTTCGGGTGGTCCGTCCGTCAAAGCTCACCTTGACCTCTTGTCCGTCCCGTTCTTATGAACGCTTTGAGCGAATCTCTTTAAATTTGTCACAAACATCCACTTGGACTCGAGGATGAAGTGATTAGAATTTGGTGGTCAAAAGTCAAAGATCACTGTGACCTCTTCGCCATCCTGTTCTCCTGATTTCTTCAAATTTGGCACAAATGCCGACTTTTGACCTGAGAGTTCAGAAAGGAGCCGGCCCACCGAGAGTCAACTTCCTGTCTCTGTGTCACGTGGCTTTTACCGCTGTTCTGTCCCTTTAATAGACCAAACGTCCTGTTTCTATTAACTCCAATGGGAGTGAACGTGAACACAGATTATGACCGATTCTTTTGCCTCATAGTCACCAAAGTACATATTGGGCCCATTTTTCACAAGCCACATGTCCTTCAAACGTCATGACACTCAAATCGCATTTTTCAGTCGGATAAATCGGGAGGAAATAAACTTTGTTTAAGACCTCTTGCATGTTAAGTGTGTAGATATCTAATGATAGCAAATTAAATACAAATTGTGTAAATTCAACCCAATCAGCTTTCATACACATCCACAATGTTCACTTCCAAACAAGGTGGGGGTGGACACCCCTCTTAAAAGACAAGAAGTGTAAATCATTTCAAGCCATTGGAGGAGCTTTAAATGTAACATCTTCGTTATAGAACATATTTACTTGGACTCGAGGACGAACTCATTCAACTTCACTGGGAACTCACAAAACAGGTTTTTTGGCCATGACCCAAGAATTCATATGCCAGTTATAAAACAATGACATACCATTCTATATGACACGATGACATTTAGGTCATATGTGGGTGTAACCTGCCTATGTTCACTGGTTCACAAAGGCAAACAACTGCGAGTCAGTAATTCTAGTTTTCAAAGTGTAAATATATGATTGTTGAATGCTTAATCTTTCTTGCGCCACTTTCTCTTCACGCACCCTTTTGCTACTTCTCTCACATTACCTCCTTTCCTTCCAGGGCTTCCACATTCATGAAAATAGTATAAAAATGTTATGTGACGATAATCAGAAGAGGAACCAATACATACCCTCAAGGGACCCCTTGGAACAAATGACTCGGGCCACAAATCACAGATTGGGCCTTTAGGATCGAGTTGTCTTAAACCATTAAGCGCTAACTGGTTCTTCGGTGACTATTTTAGCTTAAAGTTTGTATTTTAAAGGTTATTGTAGGCTACCTGTTCTGCAGACGGGGTTACAGTAGGGTAGCTTTTCATTTTTAAGTGGACTGGCGGAGGGCAGCTTTCATAGGATAAAGCCTACAAATACATCTGTCAGTACGGCAATATAAGGGGGGGGGGGGACTGAAAATGTGAAGAATATATAAGCCTTCTTGCTCGTGTGAATTCGTATTTAAAAATGAACAAGACCATCATTTTTGTGTTTTGAGAGATGGCCGAGCTGATTGACACAAGACATCAAGCCATCGAGACATTAAGTCACTTTTAAATTTCACTCTAGGCTCTACTCTTTCAAGGAATGGCAAACAAAAGGTGAAAGACATCAAACGTTCTCCGCGCTCTCTCTCTCTCTCTCTCTCTCTCTCTCTCTCTCTCTCTCTCTCTCTATCTATATATAATTTCCCTGCGTGTCTACTGGTGTATTTACGGTAAAGCCGTCACACGGAAGCAACGGTTCCAGCTAGCTAGAAATAAAAGGAGGATGTAAAATGTAGTCCGTCGGTTGTTTTCGCATTTTTTTTTAATCAAAACCGTCGCGTGGAGGGATTTATTTGTTATTCTCAGCCCTCGCGTATTTGCACGAGTCAACATGGCGACGTGCATTCCCTTTCAAACCCAGTTGTCCTCGATCATGGAGGTTTTGGTGAAAGCGGCAGTGGCAGAGATATCCAAACTAGTCGATGACAAATGTGCGTTTTTGCATCTAGAAATCTCTCGAAAGCAAAGCGAGAACGATACCCTGAAGAGGAAATTACTGATGACGGAGAACAAAACCGCTCAGCTGCAGCGCGGGTTTGGTGAGATGTTTAATTGTTTGATTTATGCTGTTAATTAACGACGCGAGTAAACTATTACCGTCATGCATGTTAATGTTTAAGTGTCCTGATCATCTCTTCAACGGTAGGACAATGAGTGAAAGCCAGCACTGTAGGAATGCTGTACATTATTCCATAAATTAATGTTAATGTTCATTGATTACTAAATTAGATGTATTTACTCCTTTTCTCTGGCTTTTTAAAAATGTATGTTTTCCTTTCCTGCTGTAGAAAACTATATGGACCGAGGAACTGATGTGGGGAGCTGTCCGCATCCCACTGGAGATATTAAGGTCCGTGTCATTTTCATACCCCATAAACTGTGATTTATACTGTTGTAGTATGTACCTGAAGCAAGGCTGGATCAGCAATCTGGCAAACTGCATTTTGTGCCCTGGGGCCACCAAGGAGTGTTTGAACATGCTTATTATTAAGTAATGCTGCTCCCAACATGACTTTTATAACAGCGCTGCATCACGTGACCGTGCTCTCACGTGTCAGGGCCGTTCATAGGGGGGTAAAAAGCTGAGCGCTTACTGGGGGCCGCAGCCGCCAGCCGTCCACATGACCCGAGTCATCTACTGCTCTGAACTACTCATTAGATCTTTTGTAAAGCAGATCTAGCCGGACCCATTCATTGGACCTTTTCAGCAAATGAATGCTGGTGTTGCTGTGCATCTGCTCGATTCTGTAAATACACAAATGTTTGCATCAAAGAGTTTAATCCGGCCTCTCTTTCTCTAGTTCCCCGATATTGACGACTCAACGGTTTCGTTCACAATTAAAGAGGAAAGTCCAGATGAGATGCTGTGGGTCAGTGAATCTGCTGGACCGATTGGTGAGTTAAAGAACTGTATTTTAAGCAAGAATTAAATCCAATAAAACCCCTTAAATTAACTGCACGGTCAAGCTTAAATTTAGCTAACGGCTGTCACTCGCAGGTTCTGCTGTTCGATACCGTCATCCAGCAAACCCAGCTAACGCTCCGGAGAGCCGGCAGCTTGAAGAGGACCGTCGGTTAAACCGCTCGGAGACCGCCGCTAGAAAAGCATCGGAGTTCGGTGACTTGTATAACGCTGGTCAGCATGCAGGAGACACCGGCGGCCTTCAGTTCACTGTCAAGACGGAGAAGGAGGAGGACCGGTCGGGATTCAGTCAGGATGGGTGCCTGCACGGCGCAGAGAAGCAGACTCAACTTGCTGCTGACTTTTCCATGGATGAAAGAGAGAATCAGCTCTGGTCGTCCATAATCGAAGGTAACGACATCGATGCCGGTTTCCCTGACTTTTCTAGCGTGGTGGAGGAGTATTCCAGCACATTTCCGGACCATTCCGATGTTCACGTGGTGTCTAACGCTACCAAGTCTGCCGGCGTCCAGCAGCTGTCCTCTCAGAGGCCGTGTAACGGGATCTACAACAGCGACGTTCCGCAGTCGTCCAGCTTTCAACCCAGACCTAAGGGTAGCCAGTCGCAGCAAGACCGGCCGAAGAAGCAGGTTTACCCGCAGAGAACCGCCTCACAAGTCGCACATCCGAAGCAGCCGGACGAAAACACCGAGAGGGAGACCGCAGCCGGAGACAGACCGGCCGTAAGTCACTCGCACAACACTTTCACGGCGGGCGGCTTCCACCCCCACAAACCTCCCCCTGGCACGGCGCGGGGCTACTCCTGCTCCCTCTGCGGCAGGATGTTCAGCCGCCTGCACCAGTTCAAGCTGCACCAGCAGAGCCACAAGAGAAAGCGGGCGTTCTGGTGCACGGTGTGCGGGAAGGGCTTCCAGTGTTCGTCCCACCTCAGCATACACCACCGGACGCACACGGGCGAGAAGCCGTACGGTTGCGGACAGTGCGGGAAGAGGTTCACGCAGCAGAGCAGCCTGAGGGTCCACCAGCGGACGCACAGCGGCGAGCGGCCCTACAGCTGCTCGCTGTGCGGGAAAACCTTCATCCTGATGCACCATTTGAAACGGCACAGAATCATCCACACGTACAGCTGAGGTGGAGACGTCCACGGGGACGTTGCTCAGGTGAAAACACAGAAAATGACCCTCAAAACCAAACCGAAAACATGGTTGGGATTTTCAACCTCGTGTTATTTCTCACGGACTTTGTATATTAATGCATATTCCACTATGCAAAATCCATCTGGGCGGATTTTAAGATGCTTGCTTCATTTTTAAATACCTATAATTATTAAAACGTCAAACTGGATTGCAACCGCAAACAGAATTCACGCTGTATTTTTTTCACACCGTCAAAGCTAGAAATCCCAAAAAAAAAAACAAGGTCCAAAATGTCTTTTTAAAGAGAAATCCTGCATATTTCCTCTCAAAGTTCCCTGCATACTGATCTTCAGTTTGTTTTAGCCTTACTTCATCTCAGCGCTGTAGAAGCACAAGCTGCTCACGATCCACATTAACTCTGCTTTGGCGGTCACGAGAGCGCTTTCCACTCGGAGCCAGTGAAGCACCGCTCATGGTTTATGTTTTGATTGTCAACATTGGTAAAAAAGCTGCGTGACTGTTGTTCCACGTTGAATTCTTCCATTAAACATATCTCCGAAATCCTTTTTGCCATTTTATTATCATTTATATTAAAGGATCGTTTAAATCAGCAGCTGGATTCTTTCTTTTTTCTTCACTGTAATTCTTGCGTTGATGAGGTTATTATCTGTTGTGAAAATGTGTCATATTGTTCTTTTGGTTATAACTAGCATCGCTTCAACCTGCAAATAATGCACACCTTCCGGACTCGTATTTGAGGAAGTAGGGTTCAGAAGTGAGATGGAGAAGTTATGTAAAGTACTGCTGCTGCCTACTCTGTTCCTCTGTCTCCCACACAATCTGAGTTCTTACAAAAGGTGTGTCCGCATGCGTCATGTGAACACCGCCCAGGAATGGAGAAGGACATGTCTGACTGGCTGGATAGGCAGAGTGAACTCACTGACTTCAGTCCCACAGAGGATCCTGGTAAACTGCACAGTAAGAAAGAGTCACTCAACTGATGTTTGATGAGAAAACACACACCATGGCTTCAAATGTTCCATCTGTCGACATGGCTGAGCTGTCCGAGGTGCCCTCCTCTCTATGGTCTGTGCACAAACATGACGTAGGACTGGTGAGGGGTGCGACACTTCTGGTGGTTTCTGTCCATGCATGAAGCAATATGCACTCAAACTAGAGGCGATTGATGGTATTACACCCGTTTTTGAGTCTTTATTGAAGGCTGGTGTAATACGGGGAACCGACTGAGTGGCGATTTGTTCAAGATTTACAAGCAGTCGGTGCACCAGAGGGCTGTTGCGCGTGACATTGTTATGGTGAGCAAACACTCCTGGTTCCTTGTGCTGCTTCACACATTAGATTGGATTTGCCGAACATTACTGTGAAACAATGTACTATCCTTAATCCCGCTACTCTTTTTCCTGCTGCAGCCGATGGAGAGCCAAATAACTTGTGTTTCTCTTGAACAGGTCTGCACATGTTATGAAATGTGATGCTCACACTGATGGTTATTTTGATGAATGATGTTCAAGAATTGCAGACATTGGCTATCCCTAAAGAGCAAAAGTGTTTGGCGTCATCAACAGTATATATTCATATTTTATTATGTTATTTTTTTAGGAATTACGATGCGTTTTCACTGAAACAGTTGGCTGAATACAGTACAGCAGGGGTCACCAATAGGCGGACCCTGGACCTAAAACAGATACATAATTGAGAATTATAATTGCGCTTTTATTTTAACCGGCGCAGCTTTTCCAGCCTTTACGGCACTCGTTCAGTGGCGCAGTAAACAAATCGACCAATTGCATCACGTGATGCTGCTCAGCCAATCACATACGTATATTCCGACATGTTTCCCGACTCGAGTGTGATTCACACGCACGGTGGTGAGACGAGGAGAGAGAACGAAGAGTAGAAGAATAACGTGAGTCAGAAGTTATTTCACTAAGAACATTCGTTTATTATTAGATTATGTATTATTTATAATTCATCCAGTTAAATTTGAAATCTGACAATAAATATTGTTGAGATATTATTCAATTGAACTTTCTTTATTTTATTTATTGAGATAATGTGCATATAATACTTTGTTAAACTATTCTAATCTGTGGGAAAGAGCTCTATCCATTCAGCTGAATTATTATTAGTGTCTGTTCAATAAATGTATTTTTGATATTTTAAGAATTTTAAGTCTGATCCTGTGACTGATTTGTAATTTCCATACCAACATCAGTCACAGAAACAAACGGATCTGAAACGAACAATTTAAAATTTTTGTATTTAGTATTTTCTGTCATGTCAGAAAGTGTTGAACAAATAGCTCTCACAGTTTTCTAGAGGCCAAGATGTCGCCTTCAGATTGTTAACTTTTTCTGACCAGTATCCAAAAACCCCACAATTTACAGTTAACAGTTTTGTAAAATGGGAGGAATGTTTGGCACGTTTGCTTAATAAACGACGATTAATTGATGATGAAAATAGTCTTTGATCGACCTCACTCGAGCTTGAAGTTTTGCCACTCAAATGCCACCAGAGGGCAGCCTAACTCATCCTTTGACTCGGTGCAGAGTGGGAACCATGACTGCCTGCCGCCTGAACAGGAACTGGAGCTTCACCATTTAAAGTTCCCGTTTGTAGCCGAGTGAAAGGAGCCACCTGACTGCTGCTGCAGTAGTAGTAGTTATTATTGGCAAAGACATTTTAGGATGCATTGATAACATTCATGCATGCCATCCCTGATTCATTACACCAGGTCAGATGTTAGTTTAAGATGTTTAGAGGTTGCAGCAGGCCGAAGGAGTTTATTGTTCTCCTGTTTCTCCAGAGTTAAAAACAGTCAGCTTTGTCAGCAGGGATGCTATGCTGTGGTTTGGTTCATCTGGACACACTATCCCTGGTGTTGTCATCTCCTGCTGCATGCTTCAAATATACTTTCCATTGTTTACGATGTATCTAATGGTTTTAGTTCGGCATGGAAAGGGTTACACAGGTAGTTACGTATAGTATAAACACTGCTGTGGAACAGTATGTTCTGTACCAGAGGCACTTCCTTTTCTTTTTTTTTTTGTAGAGATGATTGACAGAGGAGCCTTCATGTTTTGTTTGTACTGGAAACATACACACACAGTTATTTAAACGTTCACACAGTAATTTAAACATACACGCAGTAATTTAAAGGTGTTGGAGGAAGAAGTTAATGATTTCCCTTTATAAACCGAGTTCTTGCAAGTCAGTCCACTCATATGATTTACTTCCTGTTTCAAATACAGGAGGTGCTTCAAGAAAACATACCTTTGACTTTGTTGTGAGTGAGTTTTGAGAACACACACACCTATAACCATGTGTTGAACATAATCTGCAGACTGAAACAAACCAATCAGCCTGAACACGTTAGAAGTAATAGATCTGCGTGGTTGCCATAAATCAAAACCTGTAGAGCCAGAGGGTGACCTTCTTGATATATTGATAGCATCTCAGTGTGTTCTGACTCAGTGTATTGCCCATGTCCGCTTGTTTGGCTTCCCCACACTGCAGTGCATCAGTACACCTTGGACCTGCTCATTCGCTGCAGCGAAACGGACAGCTCAGGCTATTCTCACGACCTTGTATGGCCATAAAAAAAGGCTTGCCTGAGCGTCATGGAAAATGTTTCGAGGAGGAAGAAAGTGGGCACAGTGTAGAGTCTCCATGTCAGTGGTCAAAAAACAAAAAAGAGGCTAAACATGGCTGATAAGGTGTGGGACAAACACAGTAAAAATGTCAACCATCTCTCACAGAGGACAGCTGTGGACACCACCTGGATTTATCAGTTAGTGTTCTTTCTCTGGGAAGCTCACATTGAATCAGCAGTTTGAGCTTTAAAGACACAGACTGTTAGGAGACAGAGCTTAGTGATACAGTTTTCTTTCTTTTTCTTCTTATTTTTCCGTTTCCTGACGATAAATGACCGAACATTAAACATGATGGTTTATTAATACAGAATACATTATAGGGTCAAAAGTATCTGGACACTCTTGTCTCCTGTGCTGTTGGTCTGTTGCTGTTTTTCATGGTTTGGAGAAGAACCTTTAGGTCCAATTTGGAAATTCAAAATTTAGGGAATTTGTTTGCTGCTATAGTAAAGCTCTGAATGCCGGATAGAGAACCTGTAGTTAACCATCGGCAGCAGTTTACATGACGTGCCAATTCCATTTTATTTGACCGTGGGTCCCAGCCCCTTTGTTGAAACATGTGCCAGATTTTCAGTGTCAATTGGTTTGTGGTAACACACAATTTTTAAATGTGCTCCAATGTGTGCTGCATCCCAAACTGATGTGCAATTAATCAAACTACAAAAAAAATCATACGAAATACCTTTTCAGGGCCTTGCCTGCTTTGCCCAGTTAGTAATCTCGGGTTCATCCAACAAACAAATCACAAATGAGTGCAAAATATTTTTAGTTTTAAACAAAGCGTGCACAAAAAACACACTGTTTTCAAGTCATTTTATTGTAAAAGTAGATCCACATTTAGCACAGTTTTTAGTAACATCCTTCAAAAAGACAGAATCCCAGTCTGCTAACACAGTGAGAAGACATGGAAGGAGATCTACATACTTTGGTAACTGTCTCATGCAGGTTATAATCCCTTTCTTCAACATCTTGATGTATCATCAAAGCAAATAAGAACACCACTTAAATACAATTTCTATAAATATTTTAGAACATTTTACACCTTTTACACGATATGAAATTATTATTTCCATCTTTCAGTCATAATTGTATTAAAACATGACGCGATGAGCTGGCCCTCGACATTAAATAATGCGATGATCACTGTTTTCACATTAGTTGTTAACTTACATCAGGGAATGTAAAAGAACTGAAACTACAGTTAGAAATTACAATACGATGCTGTTTCACTGAAACATTTATCTGAGTACAGTATAATAATATATCACAGCAGTCAGAGAATAACTACGACAAATTCATCTGTTCACCTCGTAAAATGTAAACATTAAAGGAGTGTATAAAAAAAAAAAAAGTGGACCAGTTTACAGGATTTTAAGACTAGACTTAAAGTAACAGTCATTGGAAACAAAGCAGAGAAAGATGTCTATCAAGTAGTAAAGTCAGCCTGGTGGTTTATAACTCTGCAAGTTTTTTGTAGTGTTCCAACGAGTGTTTTAAAATCCTCTCTGAAGCCGGACAGCTGACCTGGGACCAGGTGTCAGTTTTATGTTCAGAAGGAGTTGTTGTTGTTGTTGTGCTCCAGCCGGCCCACCATGGTGGACACCAGCTTCTCCAGCTGCTCCGCCCGCACCCTGCCCGTCTCCAGGACTTCTTCGTGGTTGGCCTTCTCCTGGCTGTCGTAGTCCATCACCGCCCGGTTGCTGATCAGCGACAGGGCGAAGCAACGTATCCCGGCGTGGCGGGCAACGATTACCTCGTGGACGGTGCTCATCCCTGCAGCAAAGACGAGGAGGAGGTGAGAACTTATGCTGCAAACTTGTTATTTAAATGTTAGTTTAAAAAGAGAAGCTTTTTAAATCAGATAATTTGCCACACTGTTTATGACAAAGTAGCTATCCCTTTAATATTTCATCACAGGCAAATGTTAGAAATCAAC